TCTTCCTTTTCATCTTCTATTCTCTGTTGGAGTGAAGCCATTTCTGGAAAAACTTTGCACGAACGGATCATGATTGCATTTTAAGGTAAAATTCTGATCATTTTACACATTTTTTTTGTAATTGCTTTTATTTGTTGTGTTTTGGTGATGATTGGTTGATCGATTTAGGGTTTATCATGAAACGTTTTAAATTTTTAAAAAAACACCCTTTCATCTGCTAACTGTTGTTATTGTTAGGTTTAATCATAGAATTATGTTTATATTATGTCAATTTTGTGTTTTTATTAGTATTGATCGAATTTGATGTTTGTTACTTAAGTAATTTTGTGCATGAATTATGTGTAATTGTTTTTGAAAAATAGAGTATTTGTTTGCATGAATTATGTGTAATTGTGGTTGTGTTAACACCATAATTATTGGGTGTTTTGTTAGGTTAGATGGATCCAGTGGCGACCCTCATCATATGGCGGCTCTAGAGGATGCCCCACATGCGTTATCAATTCCAGAAATTTTATGCATGTACATTTTCCCTAAGTTGCCCCCTAAAGCCCAAGGCATGTGCAACTGTGTGTGTAAGCACTGGAATGAACTATGGTTTTTTAAGGCCTGGATCCCTGATTATGTTAGAGCCTAACATGAAAGTGAAAGGTGGTGGGTGGCTAAAGATATAATGAGGAATAATGGTTATGGCTTTCATAATGGGATAGTTCAAGATTGGGCTGAATTTTTGGATGGGTTGCGTTGGTTATTTAAGGATGAAGAAGCTATGTACAGCAAGAAAAGGAAGAGGGAGGAAGAAACTCAACCAAGTGGGCAGAAGAAGAGGATTAAGCTTGAGTAGTGTTGTTGCTGTTAGGTAAATTGCCATGTAGGTTGTTTTTTGGGTAACTAGAGGGCATAATTTTGGCTTTAAACTGACCTATAAGTACTTGTTGTTGTTAGCCTTTTAGAGGCAGTCAGTTAAAGTAAAACTTGATGATTTAGGTAGGAAGTAATGTATAGAATCTGATCTAGTTTCTTTTTCTCCCTTGTCATGGTTTAGTGTGACAGTGTACTTTTTGCAATTGTAAGGCAATGTCGCAACTATGACAAAGATATGGATGTAATTATTTGATTATAATTAATGAAATGATGATTTTAAAGTACTAAGTTGATACTTTTTGTGTTAGTTTATATGCTCTATCTTCATATTGAATATATTTATTTATTTGCCTTGGTTACATTATTTGTAGATGGAGGACCTACCTATGTCTCTTATTGTGCATTATGGTGGTGAATGGAAAAAATCCCTACTTTGGCCTATGTTGATGGTAAAGTTGGAGTATTTAATGAACTTCCTTGTGACTTTAATGTGGCTGGGTTGAAAAGGGTCATTGATAGTTTAGGATATGATGACACCATTAAGCTACATTATTGTGATCCTAGTAAGACACTGAATAATAGGGTCAGGTTTCTAAGTTATGATGATACTACATTTGCAAAAATTTTATGCTTGCTAGTAAAGTATAGAATAGTAACTATGTACACAGAGCATGAGGTTGGTGAAAGTGATGCTGGCAGTGTGCTTAGGACTGCTAGGGGCATTGAAAGCTGGTTAACTAGGAAAAAAGAAATAGGAGATTATAGTAACAGAACATAATCTTTTTTGGGGCAACATGGGAGTGACTATGAAGAAGAGCAAGTTGATGATGAAATAGACTATGATGATGAGGGTAGTGACCAGTCTGATGAAGAAGTTCAGAAGGAAAGAGAGGATTTGCTACTCCATAATAAGAAGGAAAGGAATGGGATAAAGAAGTGGCCTCCCTTAATGTAGGGGATCTTAGTGATGCTGATCTGTGTGAAGAAAGTGACAGTGACTGTCCTGACATCCCTGATGAGTTAGATGAGGAAGATTATGGTCACTTACTTCCTAGCAACCCCAAACAGAAGAAGAGGAAGAGACTGACTCATTCTGCTCATATGTTGACATTGAGGCCTGATGATGAGGGGCATTTCTTCTTAGGACAGCAGTTTGAGGATGCTGTTGAGTTTAGGAAGGCGTTAACCAACTATAGTGTAAGCGTGGGAAGAGATTTAATGTTTACCAACTATAGTTTAATATGGTAAGGATGATGAAGTTTATTTATATTGTTTTGTTTCTGCTATGGAGAAGAAGGAAGAAGGCATTCACTTTGTATATTGTAACGGCTACTTTTTTGGGAAACATAAATTTTGTAAATAAATCTAAACTTATTTCAGACAGGTGATTATGTTTTTAAATGATGTGATCATGTTTTTTGGAGGTGACTAAGTTTTTGTATGGGAAAAGGTGAGTTAAACAACACTCAGGTGAGTTAAATTCATCGGAAAATACACCTCAATCCCCAAACTGCAATGTCAAAAAACTTGATCACCAAATAGTGATTTTTGTGAAAACTTGATCACCAAAAGTTGTCTTAACTCTTTTTTGATGTATTACATTTTTTGAAATATATGAAATCTGTAGCCTATACATTACTGAGTATTTATTTAGTATTGTACTTTGATTTTATTTTGTTTTGTCATGTATTGTCCTTTTTTTTCAGGAATTAAATTATAATAATCAGATTACAGAACTTGTTGGTCAAAAATTAGTATATTTAGTCAGGTAATAGATTTAAATTTTCATATAATGGTTTATATTTTTGTTAGGAATAATAATATTTTAGTCAGGAATTAAAGAGTCACAGTCAGATATTATATAACTTACGTCAGTTATTAATCTATTTTTGTCAGGCATAACAATATATTAGTCAGGAATTTAAGTATTTTAGTCATATATTAGATAAATAATTTCAATTATAATAATCAGACAATAATACTTGTTGGTAAAAAATTAATATATTTAGTCACGTAATAGATTAAAATTTTCATATAATGGTTTATATTGTCAGAAATTAGATTACACTACATTCCTTATATTACAATATTTTATATTAGGACTGAGTATAATTACGTGGACAAATAAAAAGCCAGGAAATGATGAATTGATTAATTTAGAATAAAATTACTTGGGAAAACGCGCAATAATAACTGATTTAAATAAAGTATTTAAAAAATCATATTCTCAAAAAAATCTGTACACCCTTTCATATTTCTCTTCTGTTTGTTAAAAAAAACCATCCATTTTTAGTTTTTCAACAAAGGAGATTTAGTAGTTTTGTTCAATTTTTATTTGAATTCAACTAAATTGTAAGGTACATTTTTCAAAATCATATTCTCTTTTATTTTTATTGTTTTAATATTGAAATTAAGTTTAAAATATTATTGGTATTGTATGATTAAGAATTGTATGTTGATCATCAGTTTTTTTGTGTAAATGTATATAATGTGTTATAACGTGTGGAATTTATGTATTTTGTTACTCAAGTAATTTAATGCTTATAATTGGTTGATGATCATTGTTATTTTTGAAAACATAGTATTTTTTAGTTTGAATTATTTTAATTTGTGGTTGTGTTCACACTATGATTATTGGGTGTTTTGTTAGTGTAAATGGATCCAGTAGACGACTCTCATTACATGGCTGCTCTACAGGAAGCCCCACATGCTTTATCTATTCTTGAAATCTTTTGCATGTATATCTTTCCTAAGTGCACCCCTCGAGCCCAAGCGATGTGTAATTGTGTTTGTAGGCGTTGGTATGATTTGTGGTATTCAAACACCTGAATTCCTCATGTTGTTAGAGCTAGACAGGCCAGTGAAAGGTGGTGGATTGCAACTGATATTATGAGGCATAATGGGTATGGCTTTCATAATTCAATGGTTCAAGATTGGGCTAAGTTTCTGGATGGTTTGCGATGGCTATTTAGGGATGAGGAAGATATGTGGAGTAAGAAAAGGAAGAGGGAAGAAGCTATTCAACCTGGTGGGTCGTAGAAGAAGATTAGGCTAGAGTAGTGATGTAATTAGTGCTAGATTAAATGCCCGGTAACTTGGTTTTTGGTTAACTAGAGGGCAGTGTTTTGTATAAAATGAATTTTTTTTGCTCTTGTCAGTTTAGTGTGACAGTTTTCATTTGCTTTTGTAAGGCATTGCCACCAGTATGACAAATTATTATGTACTTAATTGATAATTATTAATGAAATGAAGAAATTTATATACTAATTTGGACTTATTTTTTTGTTTTTGTTTTGGTTTATTTTCTTTTATGTGCATAATGTTGGTGAATTAAAAAACACTCCTGAATAATTAGACTATGTTACCTCAACCAGGAATAAAATTCTTTCAGTCATAAATTAGATTAATTTCATCAGGGAAATTTATATTTTAGTCTGGAATTATACTAATTTAACCAAAAATTAATTTATTTTTGTAACTAAATATATATTTTAAATCAGGAATAATATTATTTCTTTCAGGATTATTATTCATTTAGTCAAGTATTATATTATTTAGGGCAGGAATTAAATCATATTTCTCATAAATTATTTTTGTTGTATTTGTGTAAGGAATTATAAAATTTAATTCAGTTATTCGTATATTATAGTCAAATATTAGATAATTCTTGTCAGATATTACTATATTTTAGTCAGAATTTAAATATTTTTAGAGTTTAATTAGTGTTTCGGAATTAATATTTTTAACTCATAAATAAGTTTAACTTAGACAGGAATTAGATATTATTAGTCAGATATAATTTCTTTCATCTTAGGCATTGGTTGATTTAAGTCAGGCATAAATTTTTTTTCAGGTATTAGATTATGTAGGGCAGGAGTAGTTTATATTTATCAGGATTTAAAGAATATTTGTCAGGAATATAATTACTTATACTATTAAATACATTTTTAAATGAGAATAAGATAGTTTCATTCAGGTATTATATTACTTTTGTCAGGATTTAAAACTTAAACATCAGGATTAAGATTTCTTACATCATGATTAAATAGTTTGAATTTAGGAATTAAAAAAAATTGAATCTGTTATTAATATTTTAGTCAGTTATTGCATTATTTTTCAAAGGAATTATATTTTTTTAGTCAGGAATTAAGCTACATTAAAAATTACTTAGAATGTGTTAAGTTATAGAATACAAATAATATATTACAGTAAAAAATACAAATATTATGAAGCTAAAACTGCTTACCTCTGGTATGGCGTTGCACAGTGCAAGATCTTGATCAGTGAAGATTGATTTTGGTTCAATTCCACACATTGACTTTTTGAAGATTGAAAGCAGCCAAACAAATGTTTCAGTCTTTTCATCAGTTATGAATGCACATCCAAACATTGTTGTTCTCCAATGATTGTTTATACCAACAAATGGAGCACATATCAACCCATATTTGTTTGTTCTGTATGTTATATCGAAGATTAAAACATCACCATAAGCTTTAAAATCTTCAAGCATTTGAGAGTCACGCCAAAAATAGCTCACAACATTATTCTCTTCTCCAAATTTCAGTCTATAGAATGAAGGATCTTGATCCGCTCTTTCTTGAAGGGTGTCTAATACATTCTGCATGTCTCCACCTTCAACCATACTCATTTTCACCCTTGATACATAGTTAAGGTGATCTCTCTTAGTATGACCAACACATTCTTCTCCTCCAGCTTCATTGTTTATATAATTATAAGCATCCATTGGTTTCATACCACTCTCAATCATGCTCTCAATTAGTTCACCCATTAGAGCTGATATTTGCCTTTCTGATCTTAGATGATGTCGTTAAACTGTTAATACTAGTTCATGATTATGTTCCAACTCATGTGTAAGAACAGCAAATCTACCTCCTGCATTTTTCTTAAAACGAATATGAGCTTTACATCTAGTTCTTGTTTCATTTACTTCCCTTTCTTTTCTCTTTCTTTCATCAGTTTTACCCAATATGGGTATTTCTACTGAATCTTGTTCACCTGCAATCTTCATTTTACCCTTTGTCTGTCCTTCCTTAGAACATCTAAAATAAAACTCATACAGTAAATCATTATTATCTCTTCTCTTTGTTGATTTTCTGACACTGATACCAACATATCTTGAATGAGCTTTGTATAAAAAATATTCATCATTGTAGTCTGATACTGTATATCCTGCTAAACATCTACTTATGTTTTCATCCTTGTCATATTTGTAATAATCTGCAGCAAAAGTAAATATAAATTATACAAAAGTCAGGATTTAAAATATTTTTGGTGTAAGAAATTATAAAATTTAAGTCGGAAATTAGAATACTTAACTCAACAAATATATCAATTCAGATATTTTGCAAGGAATTAAAGGAATTCAGTCAGAAATTAGATATTATATAACATGAATTATTGTTAAACTATCAGGAATTAATTTTAAGCAATAACACGAATTAGTATGTTTCAATCAGGAATTATATATTTTATGTCAGGTATTGAACAATTTTTGTCAGACATTACAATATTTAATCAGAAATTGAATTAGAACATTACTATGTTTTAGTGAGGAATTATATTTATATATCAGGTATTAATATATTTTTGTCAAGCTTAAATATACTTTAGTCAGGGGTTAAACTTGTATTAAAAATTATTAATTTAGTTAATTATTAGCATCTTTTATTCGGGAATTAGATAAGGAAATTTTGTGAAAAACTACCTATTATAGTCAAGATTTTGCGAGAAACTACCTATTATAAAAAAATGTTGTAATTTACTACCTAAAATTTGAAAAATGTTGTAATTTACTACCTGTTGCCGGATTTTGTAGTTTGACTCGTTTACTCCGGCGTTGACTTTGTCATGTGCTACTCACGTGATACTTAATTAAGCTTTCTTTCCCAAATTTTCCCCAAATTGCTTCCCATGAAATTTTTGAAAAATCACTGTGCCCTAATTACTCCATCTCCTTCAATACGACTCCGTCAACCAACCTGATTTGACTTGATGTGCAGAGCTCTGATGAAAATTAATGGCGAATTCACCAGCGCATTCAATTAGTTCCCTCAAGTAACTTAATTTGGTAATTTTTCTCACTGTAATTTCTTTTTCAAGTACGAAATTGACACTGTTCATCGTCTTCAATTACTGACAAAATTTCCTTTCTTCTTCTAATCTAATGGTTAAAGGTTCTGGTAAACGCAAACGTGGAGGTGGTGAGGGGACCATATGGTACATAATCCAAAAACCCAGGTACGATTTTCTCTGCCATTGAATTTTTTATCTGTAATTGAAGTTGGTCAAAGGTTGGTGCTTGTTTTTGTACTGGGTATTCATTTTGGGGTGTGTGTTGCAATATTATTAAATCATGTTGGAGTTTGTGTTCATTTTTGTATAATATCATGTTTAGTGGGTTATTTTGTATATAATTTGAAAGGCTTAATTGAAATTAATTTAATATTAGCAATCTTTGCTACAGGTTTAACGGTAGAGATAATATATTCTTTCCTTGGTATAAGTTAATGGAAGGGCCAATTAACATCAGATTGTATTAGGGGGGTGTGTTTGTGACTAAGAAAAAGAGTAAGAAAACTACTTATGAAAAAGGGGAAAATTACTATGGTGTTGGTCTGTATCCCAATGTTGATGAAGTTTGCTATTTCGAATTTGCATATTGGATTAAAAATAAGCTTAAGTATGATAGTGTAGGTCGGTTGTGGTTTAGGAGGAGAGGGTGTACATTATACAATGGAAGGAAGGAGATTAAAAATGATGTTGATATCCCTGAGTTTTTGGAATCCTCTGAGTCTGATGGGTGGTATAATTTATATGTTACCCATACAAATAAACCTGATAATGTTGTGGAGGTGGGGCTCGAAACTAATATGGATGGGTTGGGGCTTGAATCTGATTTGGATGAGGTTGTGGGTGACATGGGTATGCAGGGTGAGGTGGAAACTGCTGCACATGAGAATCTCATGCACAACAATGACTCAACACTTGTGGGGGGTCCGCCAAACATCCTTCAAAACCCTAGATCTGAGCTAGATAAGTAACAAAACTCAGCCAAACTGCCTACTTCTTCTACTTTTGGCCTTACCCTTTCCAAAAAAACACTGATTCCATACCAAACAAAAGAATCAGATCCAAAACTTCCTGTAGATCCAAAAAATGGAGGGAAATGGCTATTGTGCAAAGTACAGATGGAGTTGCTTCAAATGATGAAATTGATGAGGATGATTCAGATGTTGTCTTAAGTGAAGGAGACTATGATGATGACAGTCATGATGATTTATTTTCTAATAATATTGAGAAGGGGTTAGATGAGTTGGTGAGTAGGAGTTTGGGGGGTGCATTAGTGAGAAGTTCAGGTGAGATTAGTGTACCAGTACCACAACTGACTCAAGGAGATGAAGCTGTAGAGGATGGGGAGAACATCTTAGTTGGGAGTGAAGATGATTTGAATGACTCGGAAGATGAAGTTAGGAGCTTGGAAGGTTCTAATGATGAGCAGGGCATTCACTACCCTGTATTTAACCCATTTGTTGACTTCAAGGACAAAATCAAGCTATCTTTAGGTCAAAAGTTCCCCTCAGTTTATGTATTCAGGAAAGCAATTAGGTACCATGCTGTTGAGAATCAGTACAACTATTATTTTTTGCATAATGGTTTAAAGAGGGTGATGGTTTATTGTAAGAACAGATGTGCATGTGAGTGGAAAAAATACAGATTTGTGCAGGGGTGTGCTTGTCCAGAACAAAGTGTGTGTAGGTTCAAAATATTTGGGGCTAAGGTGAAGGGGGAAGAAACTTTTCAGTTGAAGAGGCTCAACTTAGAGCACATCTTTGGTAGGCAACATCAAAATAACAAAGTCACATCTCAATACTTGGCTGAAAGGTTCTTAGATGAGTGGAGGGATACACCAAGTTGGAAAATTTCTGAGTTTATGAAAAGGGCAAAAAGAGTGACAGGGGTTGAGATTGGGTATTATAAGTGTTACTATGCAAAAATAGATCTAAGGAGAATAAAAAGGGTGCCTATGCTAGACTTATTGAGGAAAGGGTAAATAAAAAAGAAATATAAAAAAAAAGTTCACGAAATCTTGTCGTTAAAGCTCGCCTCTTGTCTTTTGTTGTTTCCTTTATCATCACTCGCTCTTCTTGTTAACTGGAGGTATGGGAATCTTGTTATTATCAATCAAATGTTGGATAGCCTCCTTCAGCTTCTAACAGCTCTCAGTAGCATGACCCCTACCTTAATGGTACTTGCAGTGTTCATTTGGATTCCAACTAGGCACTCTCTTCCCAGGCGGGGAGTCTTGAAGAGGTCCAATAGGAGTAATGATTCCCTTGGCATGGAGTCGATCGAAAGCATCATCATATCGTAGCTAATTCCAATAGGGGTAAATTCCCTTTTCGGTTGCTTTCGATTACCCATGGCTAGGATCTCACTAAGGTCGAAAGTACCAACACTATTACTAGAGTAGGTGTTTTCGGAAGAAGAAGGATAGTCGTTCTTCTTCCCTTTACAGCCACTGTTACTATCGTTACCAATCTTGGCCTTCTTGTCGCGCGGAGGAACATGAAGGAGATTTGAATCAATGGAGTCTTGAACACGATCCTTGAGGGCGAGACACTTTTCGATAGTGTGACCGCGACTTCTATGGTATTGACAATAGGAATTTGGATCCCAATTGGGAAAACGTTTTTCAGGTGGAGGATCTTGACCTTGATCGTGAAGACAGTCAAAAGCTTCATTGTAAGTCATTCCTATTGGTGTGTATTCTTCAATGGTCCGTTTTGCCCGTGGCTTAGGAGCATTGAGTTCTTCATTAAACCCTTGGCAAGAATTTTGTTCGATGGCCATTACCCAATTTGCTAATCTTTCTACCACATTCAAGAGCATGGCAATGACATCTTGCAATTTTCGAACGTCCTCTTTTAGACTTAACGGGTCTTCCCTGGTATTATCTAAGAAAATACTTTCATCCTCCCCAATCATGGCCACCTTATCGAGAGAGGTTATATAAGTTGTCTCGATTATGGGCTCTCCTACAGGTGTGATAAGAAGTGATGGGTCGAAGGATGCTTGGTCATATTCGATGGCTAGAATCTCAGAAGTTTCATTGTTACCGATCAGATCTTGAATAGCTTCTTTGAGTTTCCAACACTCCTCAGTGTCGTGACCCTTTCCTTGGTGATATTTGCAGTGCTTATTAGGGTCCCACTTGGGTGGCCTGGCTTCTGGAACCGGATCTTTGATAGGCCCTATGGGCATGACTAGTCCTTTGTGGTGTAACTTCTCGAAAGTTGTTTCATAACTCATACCAAGTAGAGTGACCACCCTTTTTTATCTTTGGATTCGTGGTTTAGAGGCGTTCGTGGCATGTACCTCATTAATGGGAGAGGAAGAAGAAGGATGGTCGTTCTTCTTTCCTCTCGCACCATTATCTTTCAGAAGGTCATCTTCAATGTCAATGCCTATATTATAGACAGCCTTGAAAGTATTTAAATTATGTTAGTACTTTAAGTGCCTTGAATACTTCCCTTGGAGATTCTTGATAAACATCCTCACAGATTCTTTTTCGGTAGGAGCCTTGACCATATTAGCGGAAGTTTCCCTCCATTTATTGAAGAAAGACGTGAACCCTTCGTTTTCCTTTTGTTTTAACATCTCGAGTTCTCTACAGTCTGTTTCGTCTTGGATGTTTCACTTATGTCTATCTATGAAAGCGCTTGTTACCGACTCCCAAGAAGAGGTTTTTTCTTTCTCGAGATAAAAGAA